CCATTCGCAAAGTTCGGCCAGGTGCAGCGTATGCGGAAAGCAGCGTGGCTACGCTTCTCGCAGGCGGACGAGAGTCAGGCACGTGTGCTTCAGGCCTACGATACGACGCAGAACCGTGGTCGATACGGCGAGATGACGAGCTCGCGGCCACAAGGACAGGGAACTTGAGCGCGTCAGACTCAAGGGTGGTGAGGAGCAGAATATGTACAAGTTAAAAGAAAGAACCGGCGCGGTGGGGTTTGTGGCTACGAAACGTAATTCTCCCGCGGAGACGGAGAACAAATGAGATCAACGTATGCGAACAGAGGACGAACTGGCAGGCAAATGACTGGTGCACATGTAGCCTCCTTTTCTTGTATTTTTTTTTTGCCTTCGCGCTGTAGGTACGAGGAGGAGGAGCAGGAGGAGGGTTTCCTTGTTGGAACCTCGGCGCACGTATCCCCATAGCGTCCATGTACAGCAAAGCATCTACCTGGATGACGAGTGTGGGCTCAGAAGAGCCCTTCTAGGACTTAGGGCGTTCTACTTTTTTTCTCTTCCAAGCTTGAAATTCTACCGGTTTTTTCTGCTCTGACGTTGCCGTACTCTCCGCGGTTTGTCTTTGTCTCGGTGTACGCGGATGGTGCTCCGCGGGGTTGTTTCTCTACTTGCCTACCAGGTATGTATGTAAGCTTACAGCACCCAGCTCCCGTGGTGTGACTGGGCACGGGAGATCCGGAGACGGCAGTGAGGGCGACGCAGCGGCCGCGTGTCAGCCAACTTGTCATCTGCTGTGGCGCATGGCCTTTTTTTCTTTTCTCTTTTCGTTCCCGCGGGCTTCAGCTCCGCCGTGGTGACATGGCTGGGGTGGCTAGAGGCTCTGTTTCGAGCCGCTACCGTTGATGGTGCTGAAGAAGGGCGGGCATGCTGTGACTAACATGCTGATGGTGATTCGTCTGCTGGAAGGGCTTGTCTCGGGGCGGAGCTTTTTTTTCTTTCTTGTTTGCCCGGTGTGTCCAGGTTTGCACATGCATGTCCTGTGGATGTCAGCCTGATCGACGGGAAAGAATCATGAATAGCGGGTTGCAGCGCGTAGGATGTCTAGATGCAAGCACTCAAGGGCGGGGATGAATGTGACCAATAATGCTAGGCCGATACAGTTTTTTGCATTGACATTTTGACTACAAGTCAGAAGACAGGGGACAGAAAAAGTTGTTAGTTTTGCAGAGGGTGCGGAGGCTCTATGAATTCGAGTGGACGGGTTTGATGTTGGTGATTGCATGTCTCGAAATAGAAACAGCAGGCGTTGATGTAGGAATACATCACATGGGAATGATTGGAGGATCAAGTGTGAGGTAGAGAGCACAAGGTTGCCGATCCAATCTCTGAACACAGATAGCCGAAACGAGGGCCCATCGCTCACCAAACTTTGACCTCTTCAACTCTCGGGAACAAAACTCAGAACCGGATCCCTGCCACACCTAATGTCTGCTGAACATCAAGACACTCAAAATAAGTCATGTCGAGAGATCCATTAGCCTATTGAAACTGCTTTCAACGGCACATTCAATAAGTGCCGACTTGTAGGACAGCCATAGCGTGGGTTTCCGGTGAAAGCGAAGCTAGGATTGCATGGTTCACAATTTGTTAACCGCAGACTCATATTCTCCGCCGGTGACCACCCCCAAGCTTGTGAACGCTTCAGTGCTGTAACCTCGGCAGTATGCAGATTGCTGCCTCGCTGGTGAGGGGAGGATCCCGTACCCTGGCCCCAGCAGGTCTGGCGTTGCAGTAGAAGCAAACCCTGGGCGGATTCAGGAGGGTTTCCTCCTGTGACGTCCGGTTAGTCCGCATCCCCACCCGCCGAGCGCTCGACGCGCCGTCATCGCCGATCCACTCGGCCGCAGAGTCCGTTCGCGCTGAGGACTTGTCACACATGTACTTGTCAGCTTTTCTGGCTGGGAATTCTGCGTCAAGACGGTGCAAGACGGTGTTGAGTAACCCCAGAAATGTAAAGACCTGCGCCACTGATCCGGACACCCCCGGCTGACCATTCGCTTGGCCGGTGATACCACCATAAGACTGCACATTACTGGACCGGCATTGTGACCGGTCGACGGGATCGAAGACGCGGCCCAGCTCATGTGGGTCTCCCGATCTGTCTCCCAGTCAAGGTGCTTCTTTGAGTTAAGGTGCCGAGCCAGCAACGAGCCCCGCTGCAACGACTCTTGTTCTCTCTTCATCGCACCTCTTGTCGTCATCGTCTACGGGCGCATGCCGATGCGGAGAGCTCCCCTCATTTGTCCAAGGCTAGGCTGATCCTCATCTCGCGAGGCCAAGAACATGTCTTCTAGTGGATGATAGACTTCCCCTGTCGTTTCAACGTGTCTTGCTGGTCCTCCGACGCGTCGCTGGTGGACCACAAGCGAGCCAAGCAGCGACCCAACGAGGTCACACAGGAGCTTGGTGCCATTGCTGAGAGCTTCATGTCTTGGCCCCAAACTCATTGTCTGTTGGCTATCCGTCCGAGCCAGACCGGTCGAGCTTACGCTGCGCCTTGAAGACCAACAACCTGGCTGGTGGCGGACAAAGGGAGCCGCATCATGAAGCCGCACATCGAAGATGATGAGACTAAGTGATGAATGCAACCATCAAGAGATGAAGACGCAGCCAAGACACTTGGAGAGTGCACTCGAGTCTTGGCCTCCACCCTGTCCACGCTGGCAGGGAACGTTGTTGATGAGCCCACGGTGACTATTAGCCTGCCGGTGGTTGGATGAGCGCAACATGGGTACCATGAAGTGGCAGCTCGGACGATGGGCCGCTGCTGTGGAGAGGCCGGAGACTGCCTTTCCCGCTCATGGGAATCTTGATGATTTGTTGCTGATCGTGTCGAGGCCGAGCCTTCTTGCACAAGCCCTCGCCCGTGCCCATGCTTAAGTCTAGGCCACACTCTGGTCCGCTCTCCGTTGCCGTCTCGCACGCACAGCTTCCTATCACGTCTTATGGTTCTGTCAGCCCCATATTGGAAGGCATGGTAGTTCACCACCACCCCAGATCCCACACCCTGCGCCGAACGTGCTTGCAGCCGTGTCATCACATCACACCACACCGCGCCGGTTCCGGGGTTGGACTCTCCACACTCTGAGTGAACAAGATGAGAACAGTGGACTCTTGTCTTGCTTGGTACGTCGAGGCTTTGGGTGTTGTCCTGTCGTGGTCAGGATGGCCGTGGTGGATGGAGCATGTCCGCCCCGGTGTGAGGTCATCGCCGAGGAAGGGGCTTAGGTGAAGTCCTTCCCCGTCCACGAGCCCAATGACGCATCTTGAGCTG